TGGTGTCGCTCTTCTTGTCCTTCAGATCTTTGCCCTCCTTTAGACTCTTCATGAGATCTTTGCGGATCTGTTCTTCGCGCTCGTGCTCTATCTCGTCGATAGTCTTCTCGCCCAACAGTATTGCCTCTAAGTCTCGGCCCATGTCCTCGAACTCAGAGTCACTGTCGTCCTCCTCTTCGTCTTCATCTTCCTCCTCATCCGTACTGTACGTATCGTTGGAAGAGTAATAACTGGTGTGTAAATCAAATACTTTCTGACACTCTATCTTATAGTGCTGTTCAGCGGACGCTGTTTTGGTCATCCCTTGCCTCACGCCTGCAATAAATCATTGTTTAGTTCAACAGCACTCGACTCGACTCCACTACAAAGGCATACCTATGGCTCGCAATTTATCGGACAGTTTCTTAATCATTGAACCGCATTCCGAGACATTCTTCAGTTTCTTCACCTAAAGTTGTAATCAATTAATTACTTGCAATTCATACAAATAGTATACAATAAATACCCTTTCAGTGGCCAAACCATAGTTAGTTAGCCATTCGTGAGCTCTTTTCAGTGTTAATAGTTTGAGCGATCGCTCAGACATTGGGAAACACTTCCTGAAAGTTGGCATTTGATCCTAAAATAAAACATTTGTTGATAAGTAAAACAATACAATTGTTGAACATTTCTAAAGTACTCGAATATCTTTGAAGGACTGATTGACAAAGAGGAGAGAGCCGTCTTCGTTGTACTCGCAAACTGTCAAATATTTCTTCTGATTGATTGATCCGATATAGGCTTCGGTTGTATTCCAGGGCGCGATCGCCAACTCATCCAATGGATCCACACTTTTCTTATCACGATTAAGGTATAGGCGGTCACCGAAACCCCTTTGCTTAAGATTATGGGCGGCGGTGGCGGCCGTATAATACGAGCAACAGTTCTCAGGGGATAACAGATTCCTGTTTTGGATGTCAAACGGTATTAAACTTTTCAATTGAAAACCTGTAAATGAAATGAGAATTTTAGACACCATTTCAACACATTATTTGTCAAATAGCATACGATCTGAGCATCGATTTGTAAATCTATTGATTGTTTTGTCGATAAAATTTCGGCTTAAATTTTTGAACGCTTTCGTTAACTCTATGTCTAAACTCTTAACAGATTTTCTTCCGTCAAAGAACCGCTGAATAAACATCTATTTATTTATAAAAAACAATTAAAATCATTGACAAACAGATAATTAATCAAAACCTGTATTACAAACCTCTGCGAACTGCCGGATGAATGGGTAATATTGTCCGGTCTGAAGATTAGTAGACTTTGGATTCGGTACTTTCATGAGTGGCAACTGTTGGCCAACAGTGAACAGACCGTTCACTTCCCGAACGTAGTAACTAAATGACAAAATAGTGTTTTAATAAAGTTATCTTTTAAGACAAATCAAATTAAATACTTGTCATCAGTTCTTATGATCAAGAAGTCTGTCTCAGGACAGGAATGTCTAAAAATGGGTGACCGAAACATATTATTCTCTAACGCCAACTGACTTTTGCCCGAATCTATTTCGCCAATAAATGGCGAATCCGTTGACACAATTCTCAGCTCTGAATATTCTTCTAATGGCAAAGAGTTCTTCTCTTTTGTAGTCTAAGGAGAGGAATAGATCACAAAAATTAATCCATTGATGCAATAAAAACATGCAATTATTAAAATACTTTGAAGTAATTCATGATTTTAGATCCCATTCCCACTCTCATGAGGAATGGCGGCTCCTCTTCGGAGTACTCCATAACCACAACCTCTCCATTACGTGCCGTCAGCTCTGAGATCGTGTTAATCGTATATTTACTCAAATCCTTTGCCATTTGATTCGCGTCTTCGGACAGATTCTCATTGACTTTGATTCGAGTGTTACTACAGAAAAGGACGTCGTGTGGAACTCCTGACCGCAATAGCTTTGACCTCTTCAGTAGCGGTCGGTCTATGTCTAGAGGACAGGTGGGGAACAGCATTGGGTGCAGATTTAAGGCCGGAATCGAGTGCTTAATGATGAGGTCGTGGGTGGCGTTGTTGTCCGCCTTAACCTTCGAGGCGTAGAACTCATCGTTGGATATATTGAACAAATCCGTCGACTGATTGAACAGATCAGTCATCTGTGAGTCGTTGGTGTCCTCATCGGTGCACTCACTCAATGCGATGATAACGTTGTGATCGTCGCCATTAAAGGGCACTATCTTTGGCTCGAGTTTCGTACGCATGGCTTCTGTGTCCCAAATGATCTGATCCTCCCATACATTCACAATCAACTCTCTGTTCTCTTCGGCTAACGTCGAGACCCATCGCTTCGGTCTCTTCCTCTGCAGCGCTGGTGTCTTCGTCTCCAATAGACTCTTCGTTTCGATCTTATTATTATTGCTGTTATTATTAGTCAAAACATTTGCTTTCCTTTTCCTTAAGTTTTTGGTCACACTATTGGTCGCAGTCTTTGAGTTGTCTTTGTTTTTATCAATTATTTTCGTAAAGTTATAGCAATTATTGTTAGTATTGTTTGCATTGAACACACTTTTACCACAATTGTCGTCAATATCGTCGGCAACGCCGCCAACGATCGGACACTCGATCTGTTTGACAAAGTCTGGAGCGGAACGGGTGGAGCCGATGGGCAGCCAACCGGCGCTGGTCTCCAACTCTTTGGCGCGTTTCATGACCTGCTGTGCGACCACATCCGAGTCCCAAATCACTTCACTCTCCCATTCCGTCTGCGAAACCAAATTAAACGCGTCCTCCGAGTCGACCGATGGGCGCGACGTATGGCTCGACTCTCTGTCGGCCATCACTTTGAGGCCGTAGTCGTACTCAAGACAGTCCGCCGGCAGACCTAACCTGTCGTACCAGTACTTCGCCGGTCCGTTACGCCAGTCATCGACGGTCTCAGCGAACGTCTCGTCGATTACCGTCGCGTCTGAGTCGTAGTCTTCGTCCACCGATGGCTGACTCGACGCCAACGAGTGGTTCCGCTTTCGGACGCAGACATCGCTTTTGGACGAGAGTTGACTCTTGTGTCGGAAAGCGCTTCCGGGGATGAAATTGGTCTTAATTTGACTGACATTGGGGTCAAAGCGGATCCGTTTGCGATCGTTTCCGCCTTCACTGCTCTCTTCTGATTCTTCCGACTCCTCAATGGTTTTGATCATCGCATCAATGGATCCTTTGGTGAGATATTTGTATAACTATTGAATGGGTGTCTGAAAAGTGAATTCACTCATGAGTTGATGGCAAGCATTGCGTCACTTAATATTTGGACACCAAATGTGTCAACAAATGGACAATAAATGTCTGCAAAACTGTATTGAAATGTCGTTTCAAACGCTGAATGAATGGATGAATTGATTACACAATTAATTAATTAATTAATAATTGCTATAAAAACACATTTAATGAATGAAATGAATATATAGTAAATGTTTTGAACGAAACAACAATGAAATGCATGTCTAATGACAACACATGTGAAGCCATTCATTATTTATATAACGTTACATAAAGTGGGGCTTTATATGCGTGTAAGCAGTGATCACTTTAATTATTATTTATGATCACTAGTTTTGGATTGAAATTAACTAAAATATTTAAAATAAATTAAACTTATGTCTAAATATATTGATTGTACAAAACTAATAATACATGCAAATTATAATTACTTTGTATGTTTGGGGGCATTAATATTGTAATAATAATATAACAGTTATTGTGAACATTGCTACTTATGATGCTTACCATTGGTAAATGATTTCGTATTTCTGAACTATTGAATGCCATCTGTTGTCCACTATTTGCACGTTATTTACAGAATCCTATCATTAGTTAATAATGGCATTCATTTGTGGCCTAAAGTTTGCATTGAATGCAGTTTTACTGTTATATAAAACTTTTATTCATTACTTGAAATGAAATTAAAATGGATTGACACAAAACTATAATTAAAATAAACTAACAATTATAATGTAATTTAGTGTACTTTTAGTTCAATTAGTAAATATGATTTTGCATGTATTTGCAATCCATATATGGATTATTGCAATATAATTGTATTAGTTTGGTAACCAAACTTTGGTTACAATACTTTGTTGAATTAAATATCGCACAAATAATTTAGGGATCATTCAATCTTTTTTAAAAATAATTGTCAACACAAGACAACACATTACAGTATAATTTAGTATAATTTTGTGATAGTTTTAATGTACAAAATTTGATTTAATCTATAATGTATGCAAGTTTTGTGACATTTTATACACATTCTATATGGCATTAAATGTAGTGTTTGTTTGCAATAATTAATAAAATCGCAATCATTTAATTGTGCACTAAATTATGTTCATTTAACCATAATATAAATTTATAGCGCAAGTGATTTCATAATATATTTTCAATTAAATGAATTAAGTGTTTGAAAATCTTGTGAATTATATCACAAAATAAATACTTTGAATGCATTTATGAAACAGATGTTGAAACATAAAAATAGCTCATAATATACTTTATACTAAATATATTGATATCTATATTAGAGGAAATGATTTGATAATTTTATGGCCAAAAAGTATATAACAAAAACAAAAATATGTTTAAATTGATTACAATTTAGGAATTAATAGAGAATATGAGTGAAGAAAGAGTTTGTTTAAGAAAACTTGAACTTGTCTTTAGAGATACGATCATTGAATCCAATAATCATTTTGTTTATTACTAATTAATATATTTATATTGAAACCGACAATACATATGTTATCTACAATTTCCTGTTATTCCCGCAAATTATATAGTATTTCCGATTAAAACAAACAACAATTTTAGTATTTTTCATAAATTAATTAAATTGATTACAAAAATATCATATTTAATAACAATTTGATGTATTGATTGATAGGATTTGATATTAGATTTGTACCCATTTTTCTCCCCCAATGCCCTTAAACTGTCTCAACACAGTTACTAACCGAGGATTATATGAATGAATGAATTTAATAACATGTTTATTAACGGAATATGTGTTTTGTGTGTATTATATACTGTACTAAACAACAAGTCATTCATTAATTTGAAAAATACTTTTGTTTATATTAACGAATGATATTAGATATGAATGAAACCGAAAAGTGGATCAAATAATCAACACTTTTCTGACAAATTATAACTCAAAAAATTTTAAGTTTTATATTTCACACATCATTGCTATTAAAAACAATGCAAATCGTTGTCTTTCATTTGCTTATATCATGTTTATTGGGTGCTATTTTTTTTAATGACAATTCCTTTACCCCTGGTATATAATTTTATTTATATATCTGAACTAAACCATAGTATAATGTCTATGTATTTTCTATTTATTCTAGGTTTTAATATTAATAATATTTATTAACCTTACATTTAAAAAACAAAGTATATATAGTTGCTAACTAACCCCACAATTATTATATCATACTTGTAATACCTTAATGTATAAAGGTATAAATGTCTTTATAATCCTTATAGGGAAAATAACACAAATAGATTTAATTTTTATTATATTTACAGTCAAATGGTATCATTGCTGTCAAACCTTGTTTATAAATATGTTTATTAATTCTTAGCATTAATTTATCAGATAATTTATAAATATGTTTTGCAAAGTCAGTGGTTTTGAAAGCGAGTTATGATTTACACAAAGAATTGAGTTATTTATGAGAGAGTCTGAAGTCTACGAATCAAATCAATTGTAAATATGTCTGCAAATTGTCGTGCGATTGACTTTTTGGACGCCAAGCAGTCTTTTCCGACTCTTTTCCATATCATTAACCATTTTTTAGGCAAAGCTTTTATTGCGACAGAGGGTTACAAATGACATTCAAAATGTACTTTTGTTTAACAAATATACAAATACTCTATAAAATAGATATAAAATTGAATAAAAGAGGGTTTCATTGAATGGCTATTTTGACAGTTATTATGGCTTCAAATCAGTGAAAATTGTGCATATGTTGTGAATTTTAGACACAATTCTGGCATATTTTAAGCGGTACTTTAAGGCCAATGTTTTGAGACAAAGATATTAATAGTGGAGACAAATATAAATTTTATTTTTCAAGAAACAGGCCATGAGTTTATGGCAGGAAATTGTATGTTTAAAATATGTGGTAAATTATAATGAAAGAAGTGGTAAAATCTGTCTCAGGATTCATACAAATCAGATATTGTGCACAACTCGTGATCTTTTCTTAATCAATATTTCTTGTGATTTATTGTCTATACGTTTACTATTAAATCATTTCATGTTTTCTGAACTGTTTTTACACATTTAACATCTCATGCTATTGTCAACCGATTATACACATCAAGAAATTGCTCTCATTTATCACATGATAACAATTTAATTTAATCATTCTATTAATAGTAATTAAATATGATATTTTTATTAAATATAAAAAGGATTTTAGATAATGTACATAAAGTTATACTAACAAACAATATCATAAATCTGTGCATCACTTTATCACATGATAGATTGCTGACAAATTATCTCAATTTACATGATAAACATCTATATAATTATTAAATTATTAATTAAAAGATGTTTTTAACAAATTGTGAATTTAATGTCCAAATAATCATTTGATAAGAAAGCTTTAAAAATATTTATGATTATTAACTTTGTTATGATAATCAAATTATTTTCTGTACACTATTGAAACACTTAAACGTTTAAAAACTTGTTCCCAATATTTGTAATAATGATTGATATAACACATAAAAAGGCATTAAATTTACATATTTATAGTTTTTATAGCCTTCTATGGAAATGGTTATAAAATACAAGGAATTTCCTGGAAATTTATAAATCGATTACAACATAAAAAGTCATTGAATTTATTGTTTGAAATTTTGAGAATTTTATAATCCATTCACTCATTACTTATCAACACTTAACTATCAAAATAATAATAGCGTTAATGTTATCAACTATTTTATACATTTTTCCTATTGATTAGACCAGAAATTAATAAAACACAGTCTATTGTCTGACAATAAATATCTTTAAGATATAGATATAATGTGTAAAATATAATCAGCAAAATATTATCACATAATTTTATAACAATTATATAAATTAAATAATTATAAATATTCATCACAAAGAGATCATTTATCTATAGATAAAGTATTTAGTGTTAATATTAAACACATTTATTATAGTTATTGTTAAAAATGATTTACAAAATCTTATATAAATTTCATATAAAACATGTGACTAATAATCGCTTATCTAATAGTGAATTAATATTATGATTATTGCGATATTTATTTGCAATTATATTTATAATACATTGAGAACGACATATGGATTATGGGTTTTAGAGAGGTTTTGACATTAATTCAAAGATTGCTTTCCTCTCCAATTGTTATACAAAATAAAATGGGAATTAAATTACAAATCAAACATTAAATGTGTTTTTATGGTAAAACACTATAAGGTTTTGTTTATTTAATAATAATAATGATAATGTGATTATGATTTGGATCTAAAGGTCAGCTCTCTCTCTCTCTCTCTCTCTCTCTCTCTCTTTTCTTAAGTACAGAATTATTACAAAATACACTTAAAATTAATAAATATAAACAATTTGCGATGTTTTTTACCACACATTACCGTTACTTAAATATATGATATAATTTTCAAAAAATTATTTTCTCTCAACATTTACAGTAATTTCCCACTAATAATAATAACAGAAAAATATTTATTTTTCATAATACACTTAACATCGTATAAATGTAATGTATTTTTTCAATTAGGTAAAATTTTGTTGGTTTGAATCGGCGGTGAATTACTGGAAACACCAAAAAATACTTCATAAAAAAGTAATAATAAAGACATGAAAATTCTCGAAACAATCGTTTGAATTAAATTAAGTTTGAGTTTTTTCTTTGTGTTTATTAAGTTTTGCATCACATATGGTGTCATAACTTTAAATTAACCATAATGATAAAAATCACTATCGCTTTTTCATTCAGTAATGTACTGTTTATGACTTTTTGGTTACAAATCTAGATTAAACACAAAACGATTCTTTGTTTTTTCAGTGTTTATAATAAAGTAAACTTTGTTTTAGGCCTAAAAACTAATGTCATAGACATTTAGTACTGATATTAGACATAATATTTATTGAGTGGAAAAATTATTTAAATTGTGTATAAAAATAGAAATTCATTGACAGAAATGCTCTCTCTC